CATACGAAACTCGCACAAAGATCAGAAAGAGTAAAATCCGTGGATCTGCATCCAACAGAACCATGGTATTTCTACTCTTCTTATTCACTGTAATTGAATTCATTTATCTGACTGGTGTATTTGTAGTATATACATACCTACCTACTAGATGATGATTTCTAGCTCTCTTCAGCTTGAGCCAAGCCAAGCCATTATTCCCTTTTCACTATTGTTGACGAATATCTCATATATTCTACTAATTTGGAAATATCTTCGCGAATCAATTCCAAAATTCAAAATGAATGTTTTATTATGACTTGATATGATAAATTAGAAGCCGTACATCACTCCATATTTGAAAATTTCACCTCTGAAAAAGGGTCTAACAACTTTTACTTAAATTGCATGCCGAGTCAAACTTATATGTCAAAATTGATGCAATGGAGTAGGATCTTAATTCCATGGCATCTTGATTCAATTTTCTCCTTATTCTACACCTTAAAAAACACTCCCTCCACACACAAAAAACTCCAGTGTTTTTCTTATTGCGGTATAGTTTACAACCTTCATTGTGATCGGCAAACGTCTACAAGAATTCTAAAGAATTTAGAAAAGGGTTCTTAGAACGAACCCTTAATTTCTTTGGAATGGAGGGAGTGTGCAATTCTGTTGGCTTACAAAAGCTTAACTTCTCTGTTTTGCCATCTTAGTTTGTGTTAAGAAACAATGCAGGCATAATGGTGACTCCATTTATGCTTGCTAAAACCTTGGTGTTTGCAGATAACTTCCTTCTGACTCATCTGTTGCTGGACAATATGAAAATAACGGCTCTTAAAATTCAGCTTTCCTTTATCACTCTTATATTATACTGTTAAATTCTCTATCAAGAATTCTATGAGATGACTATTCATATCTATTTCAAGAATGAATTTTATGTTCTCATTTGGCTTTTTTGCAGCCATACCTTTATGTATATCGACATAAGCACGCTTTGAACATACCAACATATATTCGAGGATGGTTTAGGGTGTCGAGCACTAGGAGCGACTCTATGAGTTCGTGACATAACCGGCTCGTCAGGTCAATTGAGTCACACTAAGATGTCTATTAGACTTGTCCTGATAGTGTCTGAGCTTGCTTCAACCAAATCCGAGCTGTTGTTTATGAAGGATGAAGTAGCAGAGTTGCGTCAAATGGTGACGCCAATTGTATTTGGCCAACCACTTCTAAGTGTTTCATCTTCACTAAATGTTCAAGACCATGTTTCTGATACTCGAGATCATTAAACATTCTATTATAGCTTTGAATGTTTTTTTTCTTCATAAATTTGGATGGATGCATGAATTGATTGAGCGTTAGGGTTTCTTTTAAAAGTTCTTATCTTTTATATAACAAATCTGTAAAAATTAATCGTTTTGGGATTTTTAAGAAGTTCTTSATTACTTTTCTTATAATATATAACTAGTATGAGAACCGTGCGTTGCGCGGTAGTATGAGTGCTTTGATTAATGATCTGATGATTGTCTATATAAATATATATTAATTGTTAATAGAATCATCAACAAATCATATTCAAATAATTCGAAAAAATTAAATAAAATATAGTTAGTGAAATTTTAATATATACACACATATATATATTGAGAGAGAGATTTGTTTAGTAATAAAATTGTAAAACTAAATAAAATTCACTACTAGAAAACCAGGTATCAGCGACGACTATCAGGCGAGGGATCAGCGAGGGAAGTGACAAAAAAAACATTCCCTCGTTGATCCCTCGCTGATCTGCGAGGGAATGTTTCCCTCGCTGATCAGCGAGGGATCAGCGAGGGAAATTCCAAAAAAACTCATTCCCTCGCTGATCCCTCGCTAATCTGCGAGGGAAAGTTTCCCTCGCAGATCCCTCGCTAATCAGCGAGGGATCAGCGAGGGATTCTGATTTTTGTGATTTCCCTCGCTAATTTGTGAGGGAAATTTCTTCTACAAATTCCCTCGCTGATCCCTCGCAAATCAGCGAGGGATCAGCGAGGGAAATCATAAAAATCAGAATCCCTCGCTGATCCCTCGCAAATCAGCGAGGGAATTTGATTTTTTGTCATTTCCCTCGCTGGGATTTTTCTATTTTTCCTATGTTCTCATTTATATGTGTTGATATCGCGATATATGCATGTGTTATAAGTATATATACCCGTCGTGAGGGATCAAAATGATATACATTCACATAACGGAAGAAGAGGGAAGATTTGGAGGCCGAACAGGCCAGACAAGCTGCTGCATTAGCCCAACAGACTGCTGCCTTAGCCCAACAGACCGCATTATCGGAGCATTTT